TGTAAGGTCTTTTTTTTTTTTTTTTTTGCTTATCTGGTGCAAAATAAAACAGTATTTTGCCTATAGGTGGCAACACTCAGACTCCCTTTCTATTAGCTCTTGGTTTCATTTGGGAAAAAAAGGTTGAAAATGAATGGGTACAGCTAGAAGAGGAGGGTATTGGATGCAGAAATATTAAACAAGTTTAAAAACCATGAGAAGAAGCCCTTTCTTTCTCATATTCACCAGCTAATCCTGAGTTTAAGTTTGGGCCTTACCACCTAAGGGCAACTTGACCTCATGCAGTTCACTTCCCTAGGCTTTGTTTCCTCATCTGTGAAAGAAGGGCTATAAAATAATGAATGCAGTAGAGGCCTGGCATTCATGGATGTATTATACATGTTAACAGAGGAATGGAATCACAAATGTATCATTACTATAACAGGAATGATGTGTCATAAATGCAGAGGAAAAAGTGCTCAGCATAGGGCCATCTGAGTGGAGATAGTCAGAGCTAGGTAAATGTGAGCCATTGTTGTTTCAACACTTTGTATAATTTCCCTTTGTGAAATAGCCCTGTGGCACTTAGTTTGGAAACCCCTGCTCTTCTTGCTGCAGCCCTGCTTGTAGGGGTGTCTGTTTGTCTGGGCTGGCACTCTGGGGACTTCCCTCTCCACTCACCCAGTTGTACCCAACCCCTCTGAAAAGGATAGATTGGACTAGGCCTTGGCCTGAAGGAGTAGTCACTTTTTTTTTTTTTTGAGGTATGATAGACTTACAGCATTATGTTCATTTAAGGTATAGAAGGTAATAATTCAACATTTGTACACATTGTGAAATACATACACAATAAGTCCAGTTAGTCATATCTTATGTACCTGATTAAAAGTATATTCCTATCTTTCATGGAAATTGACTGTCAGGTTTTCTAGTTTTTCAAGTCTGGGCCTTGTTAATGTATTTTTTCCCAAATGAAATCAAGAACAGAGTTAATAAAAAACCAGAAACCTTCTAGTTTCTGGGGGGAAATCTTCAATATCTTCCTTAGTATCTTCCAGGGTGACTAAGGTCTCAGAGGCAGGAAATGTACTGTATATAAGGAGTATTTTCTTGATCTGAGTTCTCAGGGAGAATCACTCTTAAAGTACATATCCTGTAGTAAGGGATACCTGTCAGGGACTTGAAAATAGTACAGGATCATACCCTAGAGGGGAGGAGAATGGTAGTAAAACTGGTATAGCTTTCTTGAAGGGCAATTTGAAAGAATTATCAAGATCTAAAATATGCACACTCTTTGAGAAATCCCATCCCAGTTCCATAAATCTGTCCTAAAAACAATATCAACGTGGCTACACAAACCTATACAGAGAAAGATAGCATCATTTACACTAACAAGACTTGAAAATGTTCATCTGTGGAGGGTGGTTAAACCAGTTGCAGTTTTTCCATTGCGTGGAATATCATGCAGCCTTTATGAGTATGAACGATGGAGAAAGGGATACTCAATATATTGTTGTATCAAAAGAACAAGTAACAGGATAACTTGTAAAACAGTTTTTTAAAAAATGTTTGTGTACACATGTGAGTGTGTGTAAGTTAAAAGTAAGATGAGGCAATGCCATGCTACTTCACTTCCTTGTCCTCCACAGCTTCCTCTGGGACAGCTCTTCCTTGTTTTCCCTGACTAAAATAATAATGTGCATGCCATCCAGTTTCTTTTTAAATTTTAAGTGGCACTCCCCAAATTGCAATATGTCTTTCAAAATAATGTTTTTAACTAAAATGTTTATCATTCAGAATTCATTTCCCCCCAAGAATAGTGTCATACATAGCAAGTCATTAGATTCTTAGGCTAGCTGACAAAATTATACTTAACTCAAGAATTTCTCCCATAAATTTTAAAATGCTAGTAATTTAAGAAACCGCGCTAAAGCAGACTCTTAGAATGTTTCCTTAACGCTAGTATTTAAGGGAAAACTTTCTTTCCCTTGATAACTATTTGAGTGCCTACTGCACCTGGCCCTGTTGATGTCTTTTTCTTTAAAAGAAGTCTTTTTTCCATAAGAGAAATACCATCTCTTCACAGTCTGGTAAAGTTAGGGTGAGGAAACAGACTCCAGAAGGGCTAATGGGTCCTGTCCACAGAGACCCTGGGCTGCATGAGGCAGGTGCAGCCTGAGCTCTACTCTGGAGCTGGCTATGTGCAGGGGTGATTCCGACCGCCCACAGGCAGGCAGCATTAGAGGAGCCAAGCAGTTTTCAGAAAGTGTTGAAGGTATAATGAGAGCCTCCACTCTCAGGAAAGGGGAAAATGGGTGTAGATTCTATCTGAGAGGAGATTGTCTTCTCAGGTCATCTGGTCCCTGGGTGAGGGATGACCTTGCAGGTGCCCGCGTGGTATGCATGCCTTACCTGGAATCAGCTGTGGAACGTGCTGTTTCTCCACTTCACAGGGTGTCTTTGTTCTGCTCTCTGAGCGCACCTGGTGAGGCTGATTATGCCTGAGCAACAATCCTGGTGAGATGGGTCAGGGGAGGTCTGGTTGTGTTTGGGTCCATAGCAAAGTGAGGACGCCTACTGCAATGCCCACAGTGAGCCAGGCTCAGGAGGGAGCCCAAGCCGGATGCGGCTTGGCAGCAGCCATGCTCTTGGCAAGAGTGCTGGGTGGCCACAGGACTACAGCTTGGGCCTTCTTTCTGCCAAGGGGATTACTCCTGAGGACTCCCTTTCCAAAGACATTATTTAAAAGTGCTTTCTCCACAGGAATAGTTCCATCTTTGTGCTCACAGCAGTTTGAGAAATGTTTTTGAAAGACAGATTTATTTGATGAGGTATAATTTTTTCTTGGAGTCATTTTGTTTTTATTTGAATGGTGTCGATTTGTTTTTATTTGTTTTAATTGAATGGTGGTGATTTCCTTAAGCCACCAAAATCTTCCAAGTTCTTCATACCAACTATCCCTGAAAAGAGAGAGAACTGAGAATCTGTTCCCTCTGAATTGTGTAGCAGAAAGTGGCTTTAAAGGAACTACCATGAAATGGTGTGCATTTTGTTTCTTTCTTTCCCTATGTCCTTACTTTTCAGTATAGCTGTCAGAAAAACATTACAGCATAAATCACTCAAAAGATGATACTTACTCTGAGAAGGAATGAGAAGCTGGCTGATATTTGAACCTCGCTTCAGGGAAACCCTGACTCTTCCATTTAGAACCAAGACTTGATTTCTCTAATTATGGGAAGTTCTTTCTATTGCAGATCTCTCAAAGGCCTTGGTTCTAACAGAAATCGGTCCCAAACGTGACCCTGCTACCCTGAAATTATTCCTGAGCAACATGGAGAGGTTCCTCCACGCCAAAGCTCATGGGTATGACTTTCAGTTCCTGGAGCATCCTGAGACCAAAAGGCCATGCACAGCCTTGCTGTGACCCCAGGGGCTACAAGGTGCTGCCCCCATGCTGAGGCCCAGAGAGCCTCTTCCTTGTTCAGTGGGACAGCTTGTGCAACCAGCTGTTAGGAAGTGGCCAGGAGACCTCTGTTCCTTTCTGAGCAGCATTTGAGAAGCTCGCTAACTGATCTCAAGCCACCCGACCATAAAGTCCTGCATGTGCTAAGATACCTACATACTGACATTACGCCAGTAAACATTTAGGAAAAATAAGTCCAAGTCCCAGTGAACCCTGTCTATCCCCCATCTTCCCTCTGTGTCTGTGCTATAGCTGCTGGCCACAGAGGAAGATTTAAATATAAGTTCAAGTTCAGTAACATTAAATATTGAATCATTTAGTTGCAGTAGCCACAGTCCACTTGTCCTCTGGCCACAGATGGCTGGTAGCTACCGTAGTGCAGACCTGGCCATCATCACAGAAAGCTCTGTGGGACAGCACCACGCTGGACCTCAGATTTGAATCTAGAGCTTATTGGTGGAAGCTCTGTGGCTCCTGCTTAATTCCATCAGGGCAAGCAAATTTGTGTGAAGCTGGCACACACACTATTGAAGAGTGATCCAACTGGTGCCCAGTGCTGCTCACATAGGCACTTGCTTTTTCCCCTCTCCTCAGGGTCCGCGTGATCGGGAGCTCCACCTTGGCGCTCTGCCACTTGGCCTCAGGGGCTGCAGATGCCTATTACCAGTTTGGCCTGCACTGCTGGGACCTGGCCGCTGCCACCGTCATCATCAGAGAAGCAGGTGGCATCGTGATGGACACTTCAGGTGAGCCACTCTGACCCTCTGCCTCTGATCCTTAGGGGTGTGACAACAGAGACTAGGCCAGGGAATGTCCCCTACTTCCTCAGAGTCTCTGACAGAGGCCACAAAGGGCCAGTGCCTCCCAGTTCTTCCTGCCTTCCTGCTTTATGCCTCTCAGCACTGAAACACCCCAGATCAGGCTTTATGGCAAGATGATAATAGCACCACTTTACATCCACATGACATTGACAATGTCCTGAGCACACACGTTCCCACCCCACAAAGCCTGATGAGACAGGCAGAGTGCGCATCGCACTCCCCCACGTGCAAGGAAGAGACTGGAACCCCCAGGGCCCATAGCCTCAGCACTGGGTCAGCACAGTATATACCCTGGGCACCCTGCAGGGTTTTAGGAGAATGGATCCAAAAGGTGACCTGTTCCCTCTGCTTCACGGTCATCATATCCCAGTGACTGCCACCCCAGGAGCTAGTCCTGTAGCATCTCTGCTCCTGGTACATCCACTCAGCTTTAGGCAGACCTTCACCTAAGTTTAGGAATAATGACTCAGGGATAGGATGAACCCTCTTAGGCCCCATTCTCTCCCAGTTCTTTAGTCCCAAGCTCTTCTGCAGAAATACTATGGCTTCCTTTTAACTGTTAGGTGTGCCCAGGGAGGTAGGTCTTTTGTCATTTGATTTCTACTTTTTTCCTCTTTCTCCTCTGAAAGACCTTAACTGAGCCACCAGTCAGGTGTAAAAATGAAGAGGTGTCAGCTTTACATGGCAAGGCTGCAAAGGCCAATTTCACGTTGAAAATGCATCCCACACTGGGTTTACTATATGAGCACGCATGTGTGCACAGAGGTCTCCAATGAGACAATTAGTCCCGTTCATATCCCTCTCCCAGAAGGATGCTGGGCTTCATCCACCTCCCCCTGCTGCCTGGTCCCCACAGTAGTCATGTCAGCCATCTTTCGGGCCCCACCCAGACCACTGAGGCAGGACCTCCATCTCACAGGGTCCCCATTGCCACTGTGCAGCACAGAGTTTGAGAACTGTTCAGCCTTAAATGTTGGCCCTTAAATTGCATTCTCCCAGCACAGCCCACAGGACAGCATCAGTTCTGTACAGCATATTGGTGCAGGGCAGACTCACCCCTCTCTCTGACCAGGCTCACGTGCAGACCAGGCTGTTTGGTGCACCGTTGAGATGCTCAGAAGCTTTGTTTTCCTGGGAACATATATGCTGAGCAGTTATTCTCATTGCCTCACCCTCTCCAGTAACCCAGGCACCCTCTCCTCTGTCTTCAGGCGGACCCCTTGACCTCATGTCTTGCAGAGTGGTTGCTGCGGGCACCCGAGAGATGGCGACGCTCATAGCTCAGGCCTTACAAACGATTAACTATGGGCGGGATGATGAGAAGTGAAGGGGAGCCAGTGGCCAAAAGATATAACCCAGGACCAGGCTTTCCCAGGACTGCAGGAGCTGGTGCGGGTCCGGAGGAAGCTGCCTGAGCACCTGCACTCATGTCAAGGGTTTCATGCAGACTTAACCCAACACAGGGAGGTCTTACGCTAAAGTGTGTGGCTTTCTGGTTAAATCTACGTGTTTCACCGGGATTTGGTATTTTTCCCTCTTTAATCACACATAGCCTTTTCCAGGTTAGTATGAGTTCAAAGTTCTTTCAGGGCCAAAACCCGTATCTCATGGGACATATGTATTGATGATATAGTCTCGATTTTTTTTTCCAGAATGCAAATCTCAGGTAAAAAGGCTTTAGGACCGCTGATAAAGTGGACTTGTTCTCAGGCCCTCTCCGAAGGTACTTCAAATGCAATAAAATAATGGCGCTGAGCTGATCTGTTTCCCTCGTAAGTGTGCTCCCTGTTTCCTCCAGACCACCCATAATGTCCCCGGATGTAGCTCTTGCTGGAGGTTTGCATAGTAAAGCCCACAGACGGTGTTTGCTTTCTGCCTGCTGCCTTTAGACAAGCACTGTGAAGACTTCTTAGGTGATTATCATGTGTTAAAAGATAAACTGAGGCATAGTAGAATTTTAGGAATTTATTTGAGCAAACATCTATTTAAATCAGGCAGCACTCCACTGGACGTGATTAGAAGTATTCCGTCCATGGGACCTGAGGAAAAACTTCTGCAGAGAAAAGGCAGAAGCACAGTAAGGAAATTACTGAGCGGTGATAGCTTAACACCTGATTGGCTGCTGGGACTGGTTGGCCTTGGTTTTGCCCTAAAATCTGGAGGCATTTACTCACCTGGGTTTTGTTTTGCTCACATTGGCGCTGCAGCATTAGAGCAGCCTCAGTCTAACGGCCTCCCTTTTACTGAATTTCACAATTTCCTCTTTTGGTCGTCCTCTCCCAGAGATTGACCCAAAAGGTGTTTTTAGCCCCACTCTCAGTAACCACGGAAGCTAAATTGCTCTTTTCTCATCGTGAAGCTCCCAGCTTATCATGTCAGAGTCGTAAAAGAATTGCTTTTTCTGTTCATCCTTTGTCCATCTTGTTTCTGTTCCCCTATGCTGTCCTGCGGATGGCTGCACACATGCGTCTAAGAACTGAGAGAGAACTTAGCACACCAGGAGGCTGTAATGCTGACTGCTGGCAGGATGATACCAAGAGCCTGAAGTATATGCCTTAGCCAGGGCTGCCATGTACCAAACCGAATGAATTTTAGCCAAGTAGTTTGTTTGTTAATTACTTGTATTTGAGTTTCTATAGTATTAGGGGTGTTGCTCCAGGTAGAGCAGGAGGTATTTGCTGTGGCACAGACTCCTCCTTGTTCTGTTAACAAGTAATCTAAAGCAATGTATGATCTGAAACCACTTGGCAGGAGAGCCTGAGGACTTCGGTTGTGCAGCCATGACCTTAGCAGTAGACTCAGCAGTGGCTGCCAGAGTTAAGGATGAGTTTCTAATTGCATATTTGTTTTGTTTTGTTTTGCTCACATTGGCGCTGCAGCATTAGAGCAGCCTCAGTCTAACGGCCTCCCTTTTACTGAATTTCACAATTTCCTCTTTTGGTCGTCCTCTCCCAGAGATTGACCCAAAAGGTGTTTTTAGCCCCACTCTCAGTAACCACGGAAGCTAAATTGCTCTTTTCTCATCGTGAAGCTCCCAGCTTATCATGTCAGAGTCGTAAAAGAATTGCTTTTTCTGTTCATCCTTTGTCCATCTTGTTTCTGTTCCCCTATGCTGTCCTGCGGATGGCTGCACACATGCGTCTAAGAACTGAGAGAGAACTTAGCACACCAGGAGGCTGTAATGCTGACTGCTGGCAGGATGATACCAAGAGCCTGAAGTATATGCCTTAGCCAGGGCTGCCATGTACCAAACCGAATGAATTTTAGCCAAGTAGTTTGTTTGTTAATTACTTGTATTTGAGTTTCTATAGTATTAGGGGTGTTGCTCCAGGTAGAGCAGGAGGTATTTGCTGTGGCACAGACTCCTCCTTGTTCTGTTAACAAGTAATCTAAAGCAATGTATGATCTGAAACCACTTGGCAGGAGAGCCTGAGGACTTCGGTTGTGCAGCCATGACCTTAGCAGTAGACTCAGCAGTGGCTGCCAGAGTTAAGGATGAGTTTCTAATTGCATATTTGTTTGTACTAGCTCCAAGCTAAGGAAGAAGGGATGTCCAACTGTCCACCATCCAGAGGGCTTAACATCTGGTGGTAAACTTCTTTTTGGTCAGTAGTAGAGATTCAAGGGAGTGGACCAGTGTGGAGTTTCTGAGGTTATTATGAAGGGACAGTGGAACAGTAAATACAGTGAGAACACATTGTCCTTTTCATCCTCCAGCTGTCAAGACAATGAGCTGCTGAACCACAGGGGCTGATCCCAAAACCTCCACATAAAAAGGAGTAACCAGGAGGTGCACACAGGGCTCCCCCGTAAGTATTAGCACTTGTGGAGCCCTTTGTAGTTCTGGACGTGTTAGCACTGTTTACCTAAACTCAAATGCTGCATTATCACACGTTGAAAGATCACCTGAATATATGGGCTGGGCAGCAAGCCTACAAATGGTCTGATTTATACTGGCTGCTCAGCAGTGTCTTTTGTATATATGTTCAGTGGATCTTGTTTTCCCATCCCAGGGTTGGGCTAAATTGAGGCAAGGAACTGGGATATGTGAATTTATTATTTCAACTTCATAAAAAGGAGCTATAGAACAATTTAGGCATACAATGGCACCTGGGATTCTAGTAAAGTTACTTGAGTAAGTAAGGGTGCCCCCATTGTGTTCTGATTTTAGTTTAGCAGGACAATTCTATCAGTTAGTTACATTTCCTGCAGTAGATATTATTTGTGAAATCCTAATCTAAGGGCTGTCTTCTCATGCATTAATAGCAAAGGCAGATAGCCAATAGGCAAAAGGCATAGAGGTTTCAAGTGGAGATGAAGATCCTGACCCATGGTCTTGGGAGAGCTGGCCATCCTCAAGATGCCATCTGCCTCTGGGGAGGAACCTCCTGGTCCATTTTAACTCTAGATCTCTGACTAATGTGGAGTACCAAAAGTCTGGAGAAGCCCTTTTCATTTGGGAGCCATGGCCCCAACGTTCAAGCCCCTGAAGTTTGGCTGCTATTGGGCAGTGAAGAGAACCTGGAATGGTCCCTCCAATGAGGCTCTAGGGCAGTCTTTTAAGATGTTTCCAGAAGAACCACTCTCTTAAAGTTGTGGAAGGTTCAGCCATTTGTAGGAGGGCCATGGAAAGGCTTCCCTACCTGGTGGAAATATACTTCGTCATAATGCATTAAAGCTTTAGAATAGTGAGTCATAATAGAATTTATGTGTACAGGAGAGAACACATGGTTCTTTCATCAAAAGCACAGGTCTTCCTGTTATATTTCATAAGGTGTTAATTTATATTTTTCCTGTAGGTGTTGATCTAGGCCAGTCAATTCTGTTCATTTAGCTAGCTTTAGTTTTAAATTACGATTTGTCCATTCGATTTTCCCAGATGACTGAGGATGGTAAGGACAGTGGTTATGCCATTGTGTCTCCAG